CATCTGTCATTTAATTGTGCTTGTAGCAGCTTCTGTACGAATATATTGACTTCTTCAGCGTGTCCTCGGAGTAGGCATGCACAGGCCTCTATCTACGTTATCTCTACTCTCCCATCACCAAACGGATCCATAATGCTGGGCGGGTAATGGGCGAGCCCGCGGGTCTGGCCTTGTCCTGTTCAATATCCTATGGGACACTGGTGGCTCTGTGTGCCAACCTCCAGAGCCCCAGCGTTCCCACAAGTGCCATATGGGCTGCCCAGCCCCATTCCATTGGCAGGGCCCAAACAGAGGCCCAGACCCTGGCCCTCCTGGCCTCCCCTGGCACAGCCACTGGGCATGTCCTGCCTACCCCCAGCTGCCAAGACCAGGGCAGGGGAAAGGCGACAGGACAGCCACAGCCACACCTGGCCCTGTCAAATCAAATTGTATTTGTCACATGCGCCAAATACAACAGGTGTAGACCGTACAGTGAAATGCTTACTTACAAGCCCTTAACCAACAATGCAGTTTTAAGAAAAATAAGTGTTAAGAAAGTATTTACTAAAATAAACTGAAGTAAAAAATGATAAAAGTAACAACCAACAACAAGCCACCAGCCTCTGACAACACGGGGATTATTGGACAGACTAAAAGAAACGGAACAATGTGTGCAGTCATAGAGATGTGATAAAAATGCTAATAAAGACACGCCCAAATTCATGCTGTCCAGCATGTAAGAAAAATTATTGGAGTTAACTTGGAAGCCTATAGAGGAATTATTATAGACAGAGGATTAAAAGAGAGAAGTAGATTATTGCAATTAAAATGACTCTCGTGTTTTGCAGTAAGTGTGCAATGATTTGAATTTAGTTCTGCAGTCACTGAAGGAAGGCATGAGGGGTAAAGAACCAAGAGGGAGAACAGAGAGAGAGCGAGAGAGAGAGTGCGTGGGAGAGGGAGAGAGAGAGAGAAAGAGAAGGGGGGAGAGAGAGGAGAGAGAGAGATATTTAGCACATTGCCTGGGAATGCCAGTGTGTGCCTCAGCAGCCTGTACCTGCCACAGGACCTGAGGCCTTTATTAATTAATCATTACACACAATTAATAATTCAGCCATTATCACTGTGGATATATAGAATGGCTTGTTAGTCTCCCAGGAACGACTTTTCCAATACATTTTCATGTTTCCTTTAATAAGCTACAGTTCCCAGTGAGAGATACAAATACATCACAAGAAAAATTATTATATAGCTCTTGCGGAGCATAAATCCTTCAAACTCATCATCATCAAATGTCTATAGTTATCTATATTTCAAAGATATACTCCCAAACGACACAAATATAAACTGCAACTAGGTCTAATCCAAGGCTAACTGTGAAGTTTCTAGGTGTAAGTTGTTTCTAGATGTAAGGTAAGGGAATATGAAACCTCCTGGTTCTGGTTCCCACTGATTAGAAATCATTGACTTCTCATTGAAAGGGGATTTATAGTAGGTACCAAGGGTCTCCCAGTGTGTTTCAGTGGCCTACCTACCATGGCAGACGTCAGGGAAAGGATGGGGGGTCTCGCCTGGTCCCCAACTTCACCCCAAGGACAGCACAGGGGGCAGAGGAGCACTGATTGAGAGCAACACCTGTCAGGTAAGGCTTTCACAGTTGACGGCACTCAAGGTGAGCAAAGCCCTCCACTATGACCGCTAATCTCCAATGTGCCAGCCCGCTGGGTACTGCCAGTCTCCACTGGGATACCGCCAGGGTCCTGAGCACCCGATCGAACCGCCTCACGGCTGCCGTCCAACTAACTAACATCTCCTCAGTCTCCTGAGCCACGCTGATGTGCTCTAAATACATTTCATTATCGTCATGATGATTATAGCTGTGATTGTGTGTAGCTGGTAATGCGCTGCAGCAGCTCCCCCCTGGGAGGTGTCTGTGAGACTGAATGATTAAAACACGTATGATGAACCATGCATCAAAACATTGCTGTGGGGTTCCTACAACATACAGGCAACCACATCCACTGATGCTGTACAGAAGTACATAACAAGGGATTGTAGTCTACAGAGGGTTTGGGGATTTTAAAGGTAAAAACTCCAGGATAATATGACAGCAGGTGGATACTAGCAATGGAGTGAATTGACCTTTGCTGACCCCATCCATAACCATAACCTTAAGCCTCACACTATATATATATATAACATATACAGTACACTAATACCATATAGTCTTTGGAATAAACTTACTATCACACAATAAATTAAGTTAGGATGAGGGCTTTGTCCCATCTGGACCAGGCTTCCGCCACATGTGATGACAGAAAGTGAAGTGAGTTAATGTGACAGCGTTCGATTAATGTTTAATCCGACATTCGCATACATCCCTAGCTAGGATCATCCCAAGTCAAAACCCACCAAAGACACACAGCAGGTGTCTGCAATATTCATACGCTACACGCTTCATTACAAATTAAACATACCAAGGTCCGTGCATTTATTTATTCATTTCGATTATCGAAACAAAAGACAGAAAATTGTGAGATTAAGACACGGTCGCCTAGCTATTCTATATTTGTCTCACAGATTTGTAACAATTTGTTTTGTGACAAATAACTGTGCCTGGTGAAATCCCACTGTCAGCTCAGTGAGAGTCAGGCTGTGGCTGTGAGGAGAGAGGTTGTACTGTACTGTAGGGCTGCAACAAATCACTGTCTGTCTCTGTAGCTCTCTGCTCTTCAGGAGACCAAAGCAGTTTGCCCTTTGCCCTGTCCAGGAGCATTCAGTGTCTCATCTCACAACACATGCTGATTGGTCTCAGAGAGACATGAACCAGAGTCCACATCTACAGCATAGCACATGATAGTTTTCATATTTTTACTACAATTAATGATCCCATTTGGTGTCCTTCGCAAAACCCACTAGGCAGATTAAATGACTGATGTCTCGCTTGTCAGGTAAGGAATAACTCATTATTTATTAAGAGAATGTCACTATAATGCATGCCATTGGGCCCAGTGTTTAATCTTTGTAAGTGATACACCACATTTCTACAGTAGAGTGGTGAAACAGAGGTGACACAGTCTGTTCTTTTGAGCTTTGATTCAGGGTCTTTACCTGACAAAGTAATGTTAGGATATATCAGTTATGCTGTTAGAGCTTTTGTGCCGAATCCACTGCGGTGTTACAGGTGTCACGTTTATGGGCATGTTGTAGCAGTGTGTAGGAGGGAGTTTCCAAGATGTGGGAAGTGTGCAGGAGGACATGGAACAGAGGAATGTGTAGTTTCGGTGGAAAAAGTTGTGTGTGTCAACTGTAGGGGTGCCCATGTTGCTGGGGATTGGAGTTGTCCGGTGCGAGAGAGGCAGGTTGAGATGGCCAGGGTCAGAGTAGTGCAGAAGGTGTCGTATGCTGAGGCAGTGAAGAAAGTAGAGGAGGGTGGATCAAGGGTGAGGGATTCTGAGAGGATCAACAGTATGTGAATAGTAGATATGCGCCAGAACAGAGGGATAGGCCAATGAGTGATATACAGTATTTTTCAGTAAGGTTGGCTTCTTAGCGTTGATAGCGATGGTTATCAACTGTACCGCAGAGATGGAACGTAAGTCACAGAAAATAGTTGTTGTGGTAGCAGCTGCAGAAAAGTACTTGGGGGTATGAGATTTGACTTCAGAAGAGTTACAGGGTGTGTTGAGTGGTAGTGTCTCGTCCTCTCAGGCCATTGGCCTGGGGTAGAATCAGATAGGGTTAAAGTAGTGGAATAAGGTGCTGGGTTTTAATGAGTATAGGGTTAGTTGGTAGGGTAATTAAAAATATATGTTTATTTTATTTTTCCCGTTTCTCCTTTCCCATTTTGTATCACAAAGTGTAATGGATTTATACTATAGTTCAGTTGGGGGTGGTAATGCAACATATTGGATGCCAACCGCCATTAAACTCCACAGAAGAAGAAGAATAAATGTCTACAGTGACTGAGTCAGTGTTAGGGTCTTGATTGATTGTAATGTAGAAAACTACCCAATAGAACTAGGTCCTACAGGCCCTAGTTTTGTTGCACCTGGACTACTGCCCAGCTGTGTGGTCATGTGCGGCAAAGAGGGACATAGGTAAATTATAGTTGGTTCAGAACAAAGCAGCACATATCACACTTAGATGTACACGGAGGGCAAGTGTCAGTAACATGCATGTCAATCTCTCCTGGCTCAAAGTTGAGGAGAGATTGACTGCATCACTATTGGTCTTTGTGCGAGGTATTAATGTGTTGAAGGTACCGAACTGTCTGTTCAAGCAGTTGGCACACAGTTCGGACACTCATTGGTACAACACAAGACATGCAACCAGAGGTCTCTTCACAGTCCCGAGGTCCAGAACACAGGCTGGGAAACGCACAGTATTAAATAGAGCCATGACTACATGGAACTCTCTGCCAACCCAGGTAACTCAGATAAAAATTTAAATTAACAGATAAAAGAACACCTTCTGCACACAGGGGACTGTGAAGAGACAGCCATTTTATATATATTGTATTATAATTTTCACTGTATTATGTATTAGTAATGATATGTAGTTAATTCCTTGACTAATAATGTTCTGTACTATGTATTATGTCATGTTTCATGTGGACCCCAGGAAGAGTAGCTGCTGCTTTTGCAGCGGCTAATGGGGATCCTAATAAATACCAAATAATAGGCCTAGTGTTAATCTTTTTATTTTTACCATGCAGACAGTCATGCTGTTATCTCAACCTATATCACTGTGTTGTACTATGATACATTGTAATAGTTCATATTCTATCATAAAAAAATATTCCTAACTCGTTGATTAAATTAAGATAGATACATACTCATGGCTGGATATCTAACTTGGTGATGTTATCTCGCTATCTCTACCTTCATTAAAGGCATAATACCTTAGCGATCTCTACACTGCAACCGGAGAAGCTTTGCGGATCTTTTTCCTCGTGGTATGAGATGTCCCTCCTCCCCGCCGTAGTGACGGTTTAGAAACTCTGTGGTGACGCGTTGTTTTATTTTTCACATGGAAAATGGCGGCTTGCAGCCCAACTCGCGCTCCGGATAGGGTAGAGGTAGGACAACTTACCGAAGCCGAACGGGAGAATGATCCCTGGGCAGCACTCGGGCCAGTCGTGAAGAGGGATCCGGTGATAAAGCTATTGAGTCCTGTCAGCGGCCTGGAGCCGCTCACGTGGTCTGAGGACCACCGAATCTCGGCCTCTGCGACAAGTGGTATTTCTTTGATGGAGGTAGTGTGCGATGTTCACGGAAATAACCAAGACTTGGTGCTGCACCGGACCTCCATCCACGTGCCGGACCAAGTCTGTGAACTGAAGGTGAATCTGTGACACATGTAGCTAACAAGCTTGCCTTTGCGTTCATTCCATACCTCAAAACCGTGCATTACAAAAATAGACGTTGTGACGTTGTTTTTACCTGTCAAATCGGACGGGCTCCAGCTGAGTTCATTCCCAGAGGTAGAGGACTAACCTCACACTGGTGAATGAAGGAAGTTTCTGATGACTCCACCAACGGAGTGGAGCAGAGACCAGGTTTTGTGGAATCTAGCTCCTACCAGGGGTGCAACTTTCACTGGGGACTGGGGGACATGTCTGTCAAATTGACCAGGAGTGGTCTTATTTTGATTTAATTGTATTTCTGAAGAACAGAGGAAGATTGCAGTGAGCCTCAAAAGAATCAGAACAACATACGTTTTATGTTTTGAACTTCAGAGTAGAGGACCGGTCAAAGGAGTCATCTCAGGGGTGACGACGGATGTTCAGGTTGATTACCTGAAGAAAATTCCTGGTGTGGTTGGTGCCCGGCTTCTGACCCGCTGGGTGAATGGAGAAAAATAAGAAAGTCTGTTGGTCCGGTTGTTTTTTGATGAAGAGCAAATACCTACGCATGTGAAGCTTGGTTATGTAAGATACGCTGTAAGAGCTTTCATCCCCAAACCATTGCAGTGTAAGAATTGTAAAGGATTTGGCCATGTTTCAAGTGTGTGCAGACGGACAGAGTATATTGAAGGACGACTGTGTTGCAATTGTATTGGGGATCATGAGCCCGAGATCCTGGAGTGCCCTGTAAGTGTGAAGGAGATTGAGGTGGCAAAAGTTAGAGCGGTCAATCAAATCTCCTATGCGGAGGCGATTTTGTTTGTTGAGAAAACAAGTGATGCTGTGAAGATATGATAGACTCACCACCACAGCCTGTAGTAAATGTTTGCTGCCAGTCAAAATATACCCTGTGTGTTAAAAAGGTGCATTTTGTGGCGTTCATTGACACACTTATAAACTGTACTGCACAAGTCTCAAAGAAGTCTAAGAAACTGGACATTGTTGTGGACTTAAGGATTTTACATCTGAAGACTTGCAAGGGGTACTGGCGCCAGAAGACCCGTCCTCCCAGGTTTCCCCTTGAGCCTGTGTAGGGATCAGAGCTGTTTTTTTAACAGAAACATAGTTTGATTTATTTTATTTTATTTATTTATTTATTGGTCTTTTTTTGGGGGGGGGGTTGTTTCAAATTTGGAAATCTTGTTTCCAACCCGCACAGTAGGTGGCGGGATGCACATGAAATTGTGCAATCCCCAAAATACCATAGAAGAAGAAGAATACAACCACCAGACTGTTTCCTTTTTGAGATTCAATTGGCACATGCACATTTGCGCTGAGTTGCCATCTTAGAGCAACAGCATTGAGCAAACCATCGGTGGTTGTATTTGATTAACGTTTATTGAAAAAGGATGGATTTCAGCAAACAAATAAAGGCACAGAAATACAGACGACAAACATAGGTACACTGTAGGCATTTCATAATGTGAATCGATGTAGTCGGAGCTAGATTCCACAAAGCCTCTGCTCCACTCCGTTCGTGGAGTCAATAGAAACTTCCTTCACTTCGGTGGAGTTTAGTCAGCTATCACAGGGGCAGAGTCAGAATATATACAAAGTATGTGGACACCCCTTCAAATTAGTGGATTTGGCCATTTCAGCCACACCAGTTGCTGACAGGTGTATAAAATTAAACACACAGCCACGCAATCTCCATAGACAAACAGTGACAGTAGAATGGCTTTACTGAAGAGCTCAGTGACTTTCAACGTGGCACCTTCATAGTATACCACCTTTCCAACAAGTCAGTTCGTCAAATTTCGGCCCTGCTAGAACTGCCCCGGTCAACTGTGTTATTGTGAAGTGAAAACGTCTAGCAGCAACAACGTCTAGCAGCAACAACGTCTCAGCCGCGAAGTGGTAGGCCACCCAAGCTCACAGAACGGAACCGCCGAGTGCTGAAGCGTGTAGTGCGTATACATTGTCTGTCATCGGTTGCAACACTCACTACCTAGTTCCAAACTGCCTCAGGAAGCAATGTCAGCACAGGAACTGTCAGGAGCTTCATCAAATGGGTTTCCATGGCCGAGCAGCCGCACCCAAGCCTAAGATCACCAAGCACAATGCCAAGCGTCGGCTGGAGTGGTGTAAAGCTCGCCGCCATTGGACTCTGGAGCAGTAGAAACGCGTTCTCTGTTGTGATGAATCGTGCTTCTCCATCTGGCAGTCCGACGGACGAATCTGGGTTTGGCGGATGCCAGGAGAACGCTACCTGCTGACTGCATTGTGCCAACTGTAAAGTTTGGTGGAGAAGGAATAATGGTCTGGGGCTGTTTTTCATGGTTCAGGCTAGGCCCCTTAGTTCCAGTGAAGGGAAATGTTAACGCTACAGCATACAATGACATTCTAGACGATTCTGTGCTTCCAACTTTGTGGCAACAGTTTGGGGAAGGCCCTTTCCTGTTTCAGCATGACAATGCCCCCATGCACAAAGCGAGGTCCATACAGAAATGGTTTGTCGAGATCAGTGTGGAAGAACTTGACTGGCCTGCACAGAGCCCTGACCTCAACCCTCTCGAACGCCTTTGGGATGAATTGGAACGGCGACTGCGAGCCAGGCCTAATCACCCAACAGCAGTGCCAGACCTCACTAATGCTCTTGTGGCTGAATGGAAGCAAGTCCCCGCAGCAATGTTCCAACATCTAGTGGAAAGCCTTCCCAGAAGAGTGGAGGCTGTTATAGCAGCAAAGGGGGGGACCAACTCCATATTAATGCCCATGATTTTGTAATGAGATGTTCGACGAGCAGGTTTCCACATACACTACATGACCAAAAGTATCTAGCTTCTGCCTGATGTGTTTACATTGACTGATGGCTGCAATTAACAATTTATCCCATTGCAAAACATACTGTATATTGAACAGGCTAATGTTAGCTAGCAATATAGGTTGATGTTGATGTAAATGTAAATGTTTTGGATTGTATATATCTAAAAATAGTTTTTATTTTCTCCCCATGAAATGAGATTACTTTGGACTAACATTTGTTTGTCCACCAGGTGGGTCCAGCAGAAGACCTGTTGAGGGCCAAAGACAAGTTCTCCAGCTCCAGTGACCCAGCGGTGAGCCAGTCCTTCATGCTGGACAGAGTGTTCAACCCCACCGTGGGCGTCCACAAGGGCATCCTGTACACCAGCTGGTCCCCCCTGGGCTGTGACGCCAACGGCCGCTGCCTCCTAGCCTCCCTCACCCTGGACCACCGGCTGATCATCCACAGCAGCACCAAGCGTCTACAGTGGACCGTAGTGGCTGACCTGACCCAGCTTTATGGAGAGAGCCTGGAGAGCAGAGGCTACTCTGTGCAGGGTGGTGAGCCCCCCAAGGCCAACCTCCTGGACCTGGCTGAGCTTCAGAGACGCTACCGCATGCAGACCCCTGTACGGATGGAGTGGTCCAGTGTGTGTACCACGCAGCACGTCCAGACCAACAACGAGTGTAAGGACGTGGGAACGGTGCTGCTGGCCGTGCTGATGGAGAATGGAGACCTGGTGGTGTGGCAGTTTTGCCTGCCCATGCTGGGGAAGGACTCTGTGTTGTCCTGTAACACCATCCAGTCTGGGGTGTTGTCCCCCAGCGTGCTGGCCTGGTGGGAGTACGAGCACAGCGGGCGCAAGATGAGCGGCCTGATCGTGGGCAGCAAGTTAGGGCCCATCAAGATCCTGCCCGTCAACCTGAAGGCGGTGAAGGGCTACTTCACCCTGCGCCAGCCCGTGGTCCTCTGGCAGGAGTCGGACCAGATCCCTGTGCACAACATCAAGTGTATATCCCTGTTCCACCCCAAACAGAACTGTAACTGTAGCCTGGTGGTGGCGGCCAGGGGCTCCTACCTCTTCTGGTGCCTGCTGCTCATCTCCAAGGCGGGCCTCAACGTGCACAACTCACACGTGACGGGCCTGCACTCCACCCCCATCGTCTCCATGACAGCCAGCCGCCAGGGCAGCTCCATCTACACCTGTTCCATGGACGGAACGGTCAAGAAGCTCACGCCTGTCTTTACTGACATGGCCGTGGGCTTTAAGCAGGAGGAGATCGTGCTGCCAGAGGGTATTGCAGGTCGGAGGATGCACGGCATCGCGGTCAGCCCCTATGGGGCGTACCTGGCCCTGGTCAGTACTGAGGGGATGACCAACGGTCAGCACCCGGTCTCTAGGCCCTACCAGGTCCAGTTTGTAACCCTGAAGACGCCCAATGACGCGGCGGCGGAGTTGCTGGAGTCCCCGGTCCAGAGCCTGTTCAAACAGACTGACCTGTTGGACCTGGTGCGCTGGAGGGTGCTGAGGGACAAACGCATCCCGGCCATGCTGCAGGAGGAGCTGGATGACAAGGTACACAACACAGGCTCCCCCTACCTGTGGAGGTTAAAACTCTTCCTGGTGCGTGTGCTCTACCAGTCCCTGCAGAAGGCCCCCGTGGAGGCACGCTGGCGCCCCACACACGAGGACGCCAAGGTGTTTGTGAAGGACGGGGAGGGGGGTGTCGGGGGAGAGGGTGGAGGAGGGGAAGAGGAGCACCCAGAGGCCCAGGCGTTGGAGGAGCAGATGGGGGAGGTGATAGCGTGGATCGAGGCGGTGGAGGCCCACCTGACAAGGGAGCACATGAAGAGGGTTCTGGGGGAGGTGTACCTCCACACCTGGATCACTGAGAACACCAGCATCCCCACGCGGGGTGTCTGTGACTTCCTCACCAGCGACCCCACGTACGAAGACAGGGCTGCCAAGGTTAGACTAGGCTACCTACACCTCTTCTGTTATCCTATTCCATAGGTATAAGCCTGAGCAATATAAACGACTGTTGGAACATTAGGCTTACCCTGTTGTTGTGCATGATTCAACACCTCTTGCTCTCTGCACCCCAGGTCCTGATAGGTCACATCCAGAAGAAGATGAACAAGCAGACATTCCCAGAGTACTGTAGTCTGTGTAAGGAGGTGCTGCCATTCACAGACCGCAAGCAGGCTGTCTGCTCCAACGGACATATGTGGCTCAGGTAAAGTGCCATCAACCCTTTCTTCAATATTTCAACCACCTGATTCCTGTCATCTAAATCCAGGGTTTCTAATTCTTAGGCCTTCCGCATTCTTTTCATAATTAGTCATTAGTCAATTGCATTTACTGATGAATGCTACCATATCACATTTTATGAGATTGCCTCTATATAAACTAGGGAGCATAAGTCTCTGAATTCTGAACAATACTAAGCAGAAGGAGAAGTCTCCCGAGGTCCACAGACACTGGGCTGACACTGACAAGTGACTCCACACACAGCAGCTAAATGCTTATTTTGACTGTTTATTTATTATCATCACAGAACACTAATCCAGCCTCCCACCTTTTGATATTTACCCATGTACTGCTCCCCTCCTCCTGCTCTATCCCCCCATACCGCTCATTAGTTGGGTGGTATATGCTGCCCCTGGTGGACACTTTGGGACAGTCCGCAGCCTCTAAGTCCCACAGCACATTTCAATAGTCGAAAGTGGTTTCCTCTCCCCATCTCCTAGGGATGTGTTGAATAAGGATGTCTACCATGAATTCGCTTTCACCTATTCAGTTTTTTTCTCCAGTCATTGCAAATGAAGGGAAGGAGACAAGGAGAGGAAATCACTTTAACCACTATTGAGATATCCCTTCTACGGTGTTAGTGCTCATCTGAAGTATGCCCGTTTCTATTGAGATATCCCTCCTACAGTGTTAGTGCTCATCTGAAGTATACCTGTTTCTATTGAGATATCCCTCCTACAGTGTTAGTGCTCATCTGAAGTATGCTATTGAGATATCCCTCCTACAGTGTTAGTGCTCATCTGAAGTATGCCCGTTTCTATTGAGATATCCCTCCTACAGTGTTAGTGCTCATCTGAAGTATGCCCGTTTCTATTGAGATATCCCTCCTACAGTGTTAGTGCTCATCTGAAGTATGCCCGTTTCTATTGAGATATCCCTCCTACGGTGTTAGTGCTCATCTGAAGTATGCCCATTTCTATTGAGCTATCCCTCCTACGGTGTTAGTGCTCATCTGAAGTATGCCCGTTTCTATTGAGATATCCCTCCTACGGTGTTAGTGCTCATCTGAAGTATGCCCGTTTCTATTGAGATATCCCTCTTACGGTGTTAGTGCTCATCTGAAGTATGCCCGTTTCTATTGAGATATCCCTCCTACGGTGTTAGTGCTCATCTGAAGTATGCCCGTTTCTATTGAGATATCCCTCCTACAGTGTTAGTGCTCATCTGAAGTATGCCCGTTTCTATTGAGATATCCCTCCTACGGTGTTAGTGCTCATCTGAAGTATGCCCGTTTCTTTTAGGTGTGTGTTGTCCTACCAGGCGTGCCAGACACTCACGTACAGACGCTGCCTGCTGCAGGATAGCATCGCCAGACTGCCAGTGCCTGAGGGTAAGCAGCTAGAGTCACTTTCCATCTCTCTACCTCTCTGACACTCACTCCATCCTCCTCTGGTATTAACTGGCAGCTCATCCTGCTCTCTGATCAGCATATCTCCTTCTACAGCATTGACACAATATAAGAAAGTACTTGAGAATGTACTTACATTCTTATCAGGCTTAGTTTTCACTAGTTGTCAGACTGTCAGCATAAATTATTTTAAATAAACCTAACATTGCTGAGTGATCAATCTGTTGATGGTTTACTGCTCAAATAGTGGAGCAGGTGATTGTGATTGAACAGATGAATCTGATAAAATACTAAATGTTAGCTTAATTATTTAGTATGCCCCCTTCCCTGTGTCCCTCCACCCTCCTCACTGCAGACCCAGACTGGATCAAGAGGATACTGCAGGGTCCTTGTACATTCTGCGACTCTCCACTCCTCTAGGACTATAGGACAGGCTTGTGGAGAGCCAGGGTTACAACACGCCTGCTTGGACTAGATAGACCATTTTTCCAAAGGACACCACTATTCCTTATTTTTCCTTGTTACTTATTGCCAAGCATTATTGATATGTCTAAATGAATTATACCACAACCTTTTCATTTTTTTAAATAAAGGTTTTGAATATACATTTTAAACCCCACTGATATGAATATGGTTTATTAAGAGAGAAAGTTGAGTGTGTGGAGATGGATCTAACCTTTTCTCTCGGAGTTTACAGCCCCATAAGGAAACCTTATGTTCCTTATTTTGACTGCATTTCCAAACACGTGTGTGTTATTCTGTTAGGCAAAAACAAGGGGGGGGGCCTTGGCATGTCAGCCCTATTTTGGTATATTTCTGCCATTAGAGAGCAACACATACATATCCTCACTGACTGAGGGGAAACAATCTAAATGTATCTGTTATTTTAATTGGCAGTGTAAAGCAAGTTCCATGCTGCATGTGGGAGAAAAAAAGGACTCTCTTAGATGAGGACTTCCGCTATTGTAGACGGAGAGAAAGAGAGGCGAGAGGGGAGCACGAGGCAGGAAGAGAAGGGATAGAAAGTGTTTAAAACTGACGCTGTGTCTCTCCCATGGGGGCTGATTTGTAATGAGATTCTACAGTAATGAGGGACGGAGCCGGGCGGCAGGCAGATGTGATGCTCGTTCTAATCAAGGGGGGGTTAGAGTGCATATTGTTAAATACCATTTTTTATTTTGGGAAGGATGTATACTTGATGTGCTCGCCCCGCCGGTCCCCCCCTCCCACTCCTTCCCCCTCCCCCTCCCAGACATGGAGGTCAGTGGCCAGTGATCAAAGATGGAGTTGGACCTGGGAGACTGGGCTAGAAACAGCACTGCTCTCGATCTTGTCCTCTCATCCCTTACATCCCCATAAACAGCCCTGGCCAGGCAGAGGGGTGAGGGGTCCACCCTCCCTCCCTCTGGTGTCACTGGAGATGATATGCTGCCCTGGGGCTAGCCCTGCGTGAGGAAGGTGCCCAGCTCTCAACACTTGATGAGAGGGCCAGAGTTTTACCCAGTCCTCAGCCCATTGTCATCAGTAGATATGTTCAGAGATTAGTATTTGAGTAAATTTGGATAATTTGCCTGTTTTCTGCTAAGTGGCTAGTTTCGTCTGATCTAATCATGTCTGTGGTCGATATGGCGGTAGTATGCGTGACACCACCGTATTTTGGAGATCCACACTGAAAATACATCTTCAGGTTTTGAATCATTCATTAGAAACTAGCACTTTGGTAATTATTATCATTCAATATTCTCTCATTCAAAATTACCAGTGGGGATCTTTTTCTTAGACAAACTAGCATTATAAGGAGCATGCAGGTTTTTCCATCATGTGATTGGCTCCCAGTAAGTGTCTTGTTTGTCAAGTGGAAGTGTTTCTTCAGGTGAGAATGTTCTTGTCATTGATAGGTGGAGACCAGCGCTGTTAGAGGTTAGCTGTGTTTGGTTGAACCTCCTCCTACTTTAATAGAATAATCTGTCAAAGAGCATTTCCACCAGTAATTACCGTCTCCCCTCCCTTTCTTCCTCTGTGTCTTAGCTCTCACAATACTTCAAAAGGAGGATTCTTCTCTATGCATACAATATTTATAGCCTTCATGTCAATGGCTGGATCGTGTAAAACATTCATAACACCTTTTCACACTTTTATTTAATATGCTATTCCTTTTGTTTGTTTATCTAGTTTGAATTTGATATATATCCTATACTCTTATGTGTACAGAACTCAGTAGAGGCTGGTGGGAGGAGCTATAGGAGGACAGGCTCATTGTAATGGCTGGAATGGAGTTAATGGAACTGTATCAAACATATAGAAACCACGTTTGACTCTGTTCCTTTCATTCAATTCCAGCCATTACAATGAGCCCATCCTCCTATAGCTCCTCCCACCAGCCTCTGATACAGATGCATTTTGTAGAACCCAAATATCTCTCCAACCATTTACACGGTAGCTGCTTCATTTGACTGGAAAGTCCTATGGGATCAAATTGATGTGGTTTTTGTTTGCATTTTTTGTGTTCATGTTGATTTCTTACCTTTGTATTTTGTCATTTCGATAACTGTTTGTTTTGCATAGTCCGCTCATTCACTTCATAGTTTAGAATGGAAGAAAAAACGTTGGACGAAGGGTTTCCATTGCAATGTCTCACCTGGACTACCCAATCTTCTGTCCTTTAGTCCTATTTGACAATCTCATGTCAACTAACGGAGTGCTGTCAAGCCAGAGACACTGATCCCTATAGTACCCAAAGATGACAGCACTCACTTCTCCCTTATCTAGCGCTGTAAATCCTTTTTGTCCTTGTCACTGTGCTGTTTCACAACTTTCATGTCTCCTTAATCGTATTTCATTGGGTCATCAGGACTTTTCCATGACCCTTATCTGTAACCAAGAGTTAATTGGATGATATTTTCCTGATGTGTAAATAAACATTTTTTAAGTCTTTGTACATTTTGAGTATTTTTTCCATTGAATTAAAGACTCTAAAATGGAAAAAGTGAATCCTCCATAGTAATGTTATTACCCTAAACAATTATGTTTGTTTACGCAGGTAACAGACAGTCCCCTAACTCTGAGATAAACACGACTGTCTGCAATGTTAGCACCCCAAAAATAAACACACAAGAAACATTAGGGAGAACGAATGCTTTTCTGAAGTCACTTCACTCCACTCACACACTCCAACCCCTGAGAGAATACTTTTCTCTCCTCAGGTTTTAAACTACTCCAAACTGAGGCACATCCTCTAACTAACTTGTCCCTGCTAATGAAGTGAGTCTGTGGGGTTTGTTTTAAAGCGGACTTAACATGGTCCTTTAACGGGTAGACGACTCCTCTCTCTGTCCCCAGAGGGGCCGGGGCAGTGACCCGAGACCAGTGGTGGGGCTGTGTGGAGAGGAGGAGGAGGGGGACATGTCCATCATTAGAGACACTGCTTGTTCTTGAGCATGGGGCCACTGGAGTGGAACTAATACTGAGAAGTAGCAGTATAAAGGGCATGAGCAGGGAGGCTTGTGTTTTACTGCTACATTAATTAAGCTCATTCTCAACACAGTGCCCGCCACTCTCAGCCAGAGTTAAATAAGTCTGAGGGGGTGTTGTGTGTGTGTCAAATCCAATTTAATTAGTCTATATGCTTCGTAAACAACAGGTGTAGACTAACAGTGAAATGCTTCTTTACGGGCCCTTCCCAACAATGCAGAAAGAAAATAGAGAAATAATAGAAAAGTAATAATAAAGACACGATGAGTAACGATAACTTGGCTATATACAATGGGTACCAGTACCGAGTCGATGTGCAGGGGTACGAGGTAATTGAGGTAGATATGTACAGTGGGGAAAAAAAGTATTTAGTCAGCCACCAATTGTGCAAGTTCTCCCACTTAAAAAGATGAGAGAGGCCTGTAATTTTCATCATAGGTACACGTCAACTATGACAGACAAAATGAGGAGAAAAAAAATCCAGAAAATCACATTGTAGGATTTTTTATGAATTTATTTGCGAATTATGGTGGAAAATAAGTATTTGGTCAATAACAAAAGTTTCTCAATACTTTGTTATATACCCTTTGTTGGCAATGACACAGGTCAAACGTTTTCTGTAAGTCTTCACAAGGTTTTCACACACTGTTGCTGGTATTTTGGCCCATTCCTCCATGCAGATCTCTAGAGCAGTGATGTTTTGGGAATGTCGCTGGGCAACACAGACTTTCAACTCCCTCCAAAGATTTTCTATGGGGTTGAGATCTGGAGACTGGCTAGGCCACTCCAGGACCTTGAAATGCTTCTTACGAAGCCACTCCTTCGTTGCCCGGGCGGTGTGTTTGGGATCATTGTCATGCTGAAAGACCCAGCCACGTTTCATCTTCAATGCCTTGCTGATGGAAGGAGGTTTTCACTCAAAATCTCACGATACATGGCCCCATTCATTCTTTCCTTTACACGGATCAGTCGTCCTGGTCCCTTTGCAGAAAAACAGCCCCAAAGCATGATGTTTCCACCCCCATGCTTCACAGTAGGTATGGTGTTCTTTGGATGCAACTCAGCATTCTTTGTCCTCCAAACACGACGAGTTGAGTTTTTACCAAAAAGTTATATTTTGGTTTCATCTGACCATATGACATTCTCCCAATCCTCTTCTGGATCATCCAAATGCACTCTAGCAAACTTCAGACGGGCCTGGACATGTACAGGCTTAAGCAGGGGGACACGTCTGGCACTGCAGGATTTGAGTCCCTGGCGGCGTAGTGTGTTACTGATGGTAGGCTTTGTTACTTTGGTCCCAGCTCTCTGCAGGTCATTCACTAGGTCCCCCCCGTGTGGTTCTGGGATTTTTGCTCACCGTTCTTGTGATCATTTTGACCCCACGGGGTGAGATCTTGCGTGGAGCCCCAGATCGAGGGAGATTATCAGTGGTCTTGTATGTCTTCCATTTCCTAATAATTGCTCCCACAGTTGATTTCTTCAAACCAAGCTGCTTACCTATTGCAGATTCAGTCTTCCCAGCCTGGTGCAGGTCTACAATTTTGTTTCTGGTGTCCTTTGACAGCTCTTTGGTCTTGGCCATAGTGGAGTTTGGAGTGTGACTGTTTGAGGTTGTGGACAGGTGTCTTTTATACTGATAACAAGTTCAAACAGGTGCCATTAATACAGGTAACGAGTGGAGGACAGAGGAGCCTCTTAAAGAAGAAGTTACAGGTCTGTGAGAGCCAGAAATATTGCTTGTTTGTAGGTGACCAAATGCTTATTTTCCACCATAATTTGCAAATAAATTCATTAAAAATCCTACAATGTGATTTTCTGGATTTTTTTATTCTCAATTTGTCTGTCATGGTTGACGTGTACCTATGATGAAAATTACAGGCCTCTCATCTTTTTAAGTGGGAGAACTTGCACAATTGGTGGCTGACTAAATACTTTTCCCCCCCACT